TTTGTTCAGAAAACAAGGAAAACATTATGTTACTGCCCTTTGGCATTCAACATACATTTCCTTCCCCTTTTTTTTAAGGATTTTTATGCACTGGACCCTTGTTACACCAGAAAGGATGGAGTTTATCCACTCCATATCTCAGCAAAACTCAGACAGAAATGTTGGTTGCACAGCCCAGAACCTATGGTGGTAATACAGACCTGAGGATTGCTCCCATTTATTGAGAACTTACTATGAGCAAGCACAGTTCAGGGGCTTTACTCACGCTGTTTGAGCCTCACAATGTTACTTTGTGTTACTGCCCTCATGTTATGGCCCAGAGGTAAGAGCCAGGGCTGGGCTGCCAACCCAGACAGGCTGGCTCAGAGCTCAGAACCTGCACCACTCTGGCCTTGATTCTGAAGCTCCTGGGGCCCCCTGCCCCTGCCCCTGATGAAGCACTGGGCAGTGACGACACTTACTAGCAGGGTGATGATGCTGTGCTGGCAGAGCCTCCAAAACCCAAGCACGGACTTTTGATGCAGTTGCTCTAGTCTGACATACAGTTAAACCTGCCTTTCCCTAACTGTTCCACGAATGGGGTATTTGGACAATTTGATTTTCTACCTGAGGAATTAACTAAAAAATATTTTTGTTGATCCCTTCCTGGGGAAAATCTAGGGCTGTATTACTTAGCCCATACCTAACTAAGCCCTGCACATTGAAGACAGTTCTGTCTCTGCAGTCAGATCTAGTGGTGCCTTAGATGGGGCCTCATTCTCACCATGGCTTTTCCACTCTACATCTAGTGGAGGGCTTGGCAAACTCCTGGGCTCCTCCTCAGGCTAGAGAAAGTCTGTTTGAACAATTAAAGACTATAGCTTAATATTCCCGGAGGTGGTCCAGAAGGCAGCCTGGTGAACAGGCCTGAGAGGGCCTTGATCTGGCTGCGTCATAAACCTGCCTGGTGGCCAGAGGTCAGCCAGGGCGCAGGATAAAGACGGGTGTTGCCCCATGACACCACCATCGCTTATGGTCTCAAAAGGGGGTGGCTGAGGCAGCCCTCAGCTTTCTTCCTTCCTGAGTTTAAGGATTTGGTAGCTCAGCCAGGCATTCACAATAGTAAGTTAGAGCCCCACTGGGAGAAGGGGAATACCATCAACGCAGCTCAGGGACCAGTTCTGTCACCCCGTCATGCCTTCCTCCAAGTGCAGCCTTAAAGAGCCTGACCACAGACCCATATTTCTAATTCAGCTCAGCTGTGCCTCAGTTTCCCCAACTGCTTCCTTTTGTTCCCTGGGTTATTTAACTTTTGGCAGCCAAATCTGAGTGGCATGAGAACCACTAGGAGAACTCATTAAACAGCCTGACTCTGTGTGTTGGGCCACAGTCCGCTTTAGGAGACCAGGGAAGCTGGAGCCCAGGAATCCTGTTAACAGGCACTCCCGGGGATGGCCCAAGGACTCCACTTTGAGAAACAACACTATGGGGGGCTTCTGCCTGGGCCTCCAATAGTATACAAAGGTCAGAGATGCCAACTGAATAGTGATGGGAGGGAATGGGCAGAGCCTCGGGTGGACACCAGACTTGACTAATGCACCAGGGGCCTCTTCAGGGAGGTGTGCAAGAGCTGGGCGTTTCCCTCTCGCAGATTCAGCCCAGGTCACCTGCTTTGTGTAGATAATGACAGTTGGCTCCTGAGTGCTCACTTGGCCCTGAGGTCGAGTGTTATAAGCATTATCTCATTTAATCCTCATAACCACCCTATGAGGTTAGTACTATCATTATCCTCATTGACAGATGAAGACATGGAGGCTAAGAGAAGTAACTCGCCCAAGACTACACAGCTATTAAGTGGCAGTGACAGGATTCTGAACCAGGCGGTGTGACTTCAGAGCACAAACAGAAAACACTGTACTCCATTATTAGAATTCTGCTTTCTTCAGTCCTAGTTTAGGGTTCTATCTCCTATCATCAACTCAGTTTTTTTTCCTCCTTTCCCAGCTAGGATGACAGCTCTGTAAGTTAAGGCAATTCTTTGCTGAGGTTGTAGCTATTATTACAGTAAGATTAGCATATCAAGAACTTTAAAAACTGGGTCATTTTAAATACCCTTGCACTTGGACAATTGTAAAGGTGGAGAAATAGCAAGCTCACCACTGCAAAAGGCTTAATCAGTGTGGAAAAGAGAATAGCAAGCCCCTCGCTTCAGTAAAGCCACCCACTGCAGCGATCAAGCAAAGCAACGCGTTATCTGGCTTTTTGTGCAGACTGTCCAGAGAGCAATGAGAAAAACCGACCACACAATCACATCCTTGTCGAAGTTAAGCTTTGGTGTCCTGGGGGGCTACACACACTTTCTAGACACATATACCACACACAGGGAACTTGGCTGTGACATTCGTTTGTCACCTTTGGCCCAAGGTCTCCTACCTTGTCTTCGTTTCCAGGCAGCTGCTCCTGGTGGCACCACCCTTCCTTTAGCAGCATCTGCTCAGCATGTCATTCATATGGTTCACGTTTTCCCAGCTGAACCAGCTGTCCGTCGTGCCCCTCTTCCTCCAACTGGTTTACTGAAATCTAAAGAAGCCCAAGACTCAACCCCTTGTCCAGCCAACATCCTGGGGCCAAGGACTGGCTCTAAGGGACATCACCTATCTCCAGGTTCTGTTTGCTCTGAAGTCCAGCCCTGAGCAGCTTGTTCCATGCCCTTGGGATGCTCCACTTCACCCCCCATCAATATGGCTTCACCTGCAGCTAATCCCACCCTGACCGAACCCACTGTAACTTACACACAGCCTCTTAATACCAAGTTTATAATTAAGGCCAGACACACAGTGAAGAGATTTAAGGGCAATGGAAAAATAGAAAAAAAAAAAAAACCATGCTAACCTTCAGGGCTTATGCAATCACTGACTTCTCATTTTCAGTTCTGTGTTTATTCCAGTCCTCTCCTCTACCTTGAAAAGGATGTCTTTAATGTCTCCTAGCATCCTCATTTTCCTTAATTGTGGGTTGTTTGCTCATGTCATAAACTGTCTATTATAGAAACATCTGCCAAATACCATTACCCAAAAAGAGGTACTATGGATTTGACACCTAACTGGTAGGAGTCCCGGCACTTCCCACTATTCTAAAGATGGTGGCGAATCGAAAAGCTGACTTTACTCCTTCCTTGGTCTAGGAAGAGCGAGTGACTGTCAGCCAGACAGGAACATCAAAGCTGAGCTGTGTTTCTGGCCATAAATCCTCTTCCCCGCAAGGTCACACAAGTTCAGTCTGGTGTTGAATCCTCAGCAACTGGATGCTGTTGTAGCCTCTTTACGTCCAACCCTTGGCAGATCGCCTGCCTCCTAACATACTGGAACTCTCTGGAACAAAAAGGTCCTGGAGAACAACAGGAGAAGATTCAGGCTTCACTGCTCTGGGCTACTAATTCCCCATGGCTCATTTGTTTAGCAGGTACCAGATCTAGCAATATTTCCATGGTAAACCCCATCCCTGTTGGAACCTCCAAGCCTCTATCCAATGAGCTAAGACACCATCCCCCACTTGTCATAGGGGTCTGCCCACCCCCTTGGGCTGAGCTGAGCCCTCAGAACAAATGGGGAACAACAGCTCTGGCTTGTGAGTGCTCCCAGATCTGCAAGCCGAGCTAAGCAGCCTCTGCTTCTTTCTCAGGCTTCCACACAGGCCCAGTGGCCTCCAGAGACCTCTTTCCTCCATCTTGGCCTTTACAAGGGCAAGAAGACACCACCACTACTAAGAAGGATAAAATAAGTTTTTATTTATAGTCTTATAGTAAAGGGGAAAGCCTTAACTTGCAAGACAATTCTTCCGCAGTATGTACAACATACTTTTTTATTTCCATGGAATGGAATCAAACACGGACTGAGACTACAGAGTATACACTAGAAATCAGCAAATGCCAGGAACGGAGTAGGAAAAAGACAAAGAAATGAGGCCTAAACACACACAACCCCTCACTGGGATCTGCTGACCGCAGCCAGAACCAGGGCTAGGTCACATAATGTAGACAGGTTCCAGGACGGAAGGAGAGGGGGTGAGGGCAGGGAAGGGTCCGCACTGGTGTGTGCGGGTTTAGTACCAGGTAAATCGCTCTTGGTATTTACATACAAAATCAGTTGGCTCTATTTCTTAGAAATGCACACGGAAAGAAAGGAAGATTTGATCATCACTTTATGAATCTGTCGCTTTGCAATACCGACATCATCAGAAATAGGGACAATTCACTCAGATTCAAATTTCAGTAGCAGGAAATAAATATCAAAACATCATCACTGGCCCTCAATACAAAACCTCTACCCTCACCCAATCCTCCCCCTCCCTGTCCCACCCCCAAAAAGCCACCCCCTACCAACTCCCTGGTGGCTACTGCTTCACTCTGCTTTCTCCCATGCACACCAGAGAGAGCCCTGCAGCCTCCGCAGGGCTGACACGCAGGCTTAGAACAGCTGCTGAGAGAAGCAGGAATGAAACGTGCCAAAGACTCTGCTCTGCAAATCTGTCCCCACTTTCCTTTTATACCACCAACTTCTTCAAGAATCTGATCTTTCAACAGGAGTGATAAATAAGCTTTTTAGGAAAAAAAGAAAAATCCTTAAGAAAGGGAGTGGGCGGTGGGATAATTCTGATTATTCCAAACCAATGGTCTTCTTAAAGTAGAGCAGTTCACAGATTCACAAAGTCTATCAAGTAGAGGTGAGGGCGGACTGGGAGGAGAGGCCTGTGAGGGGAAGGAGTCCTCCAGGCGGTGGTGCCCGGCAGGCTTGGAGGAGCTGGTGGGGCGGTTAGGACACCATGTGCTCAGAGGTCCGGCTGGCCATCTGTCCTCCACAGAAAAAGCTGCCACGTTGGGGTGTTTTGGTTTAAAAATTCCTGGTGGAAACAGGG